GCCCTAGTCAATAAAATCATATTTTGGGGGGCCAGCAGGTGGCATGGTGGTTAAGGTGCTGAATTCCCACATGGCTGACTAGAGTCAAGTACCAGACCTGGCGGTTTGCTTCCTCACTCTCCCTTTCTCTCTCTCTGTCTCTCTCTCGTCAAATTCAAAAATAAATAATAGTAACAAATAAATAAGTAAGTAAATCTTTAAAAAATCTTTTGTAAAAGAGCAACACATGCTGTTACAAAGCCACAAGTGGGTAAGAGGCATTTCCGGGCACAACAGGCCAATGATTTCAATATAAAACACAAAGACTCACATTGTGACCAGGGCCGAGAATTATCACTAGTTGGGGCCAGCAGATAGTATAATGGTTATGTTGTTGGACCCCCACGTGGTCGACCACAGTTTGAGTCTCAGACCCGGTGGCTTAAAACATGCCAGGTATATGTGTGTGTGCCCAAGATCCCGAGAGGAGAATGGAGGAGAGGGGATTTGGCGTGGCCAACCCCCGAGGGGGAATTTCTCACTTTCTGTCTCTCTTGTCTCTCCAGTGAATGCATGTACCCTATAGCAAAAATCTCTCAAAAAAGAAAGAGAAGAAATGGTCACTTGCGGAAGGTTGGTGTGGCATTCGAGATATAAAATATCCCTCACTTTCCAGTGCTTACCTGTGCGGGGCTGACTGTCCTCGTACCCTTCAACCAAACATGCAAGAGTGACTGCCGCAGCAGATGTGGGAATCCAGCCTTGTTGCTTCTCTTCCTTTTATTTTATTTTTAAATAATTATTTTATTTAACTGAATTCATTATTATGATTATTTTCCAGTTCAATCAGAGAGAGACAGAAAAAGAAAGAGAGGGAAAGTAAGAAAGCAAGCCACCAGGTTCAGGACTTGAACCATGTTCAGCCATGTGGGAGTCCAGTGCCCTTAACCACCATACCACCTGCTGGCCCCTCTTCCTTTTATTATTATTATTTTATCTTTTAAAAATATTCTACCTTTATTCTGATGTATTAATAGTTGGGTTGATCAAGAAGATAAAGGCTAAGTGTCATCAAGCTAACTTCCTTAAAGGAAAAAAATAGAGGAAAAGCTTTTCCAACTATCTTTGTATGAAGACAGTACAAAAATGAGTAAATGGAATAAATAATCCAGACACAGACTAAAATAAAGTGACATTTATAATGTATTTGGCAATCAACATGTAATTATATATTTAAATTTCAACTTACATATATAAGATCACAGCCAAGGAGGTTAGTCACAATTTAAAAATTTTATCACCGGGACCAGCAGTTAGCGTAACGGCTATGTTGCTGGACTCCCACATAGTCAACTGCAGTTCAAGTCCTGGACCCGGTGGCTTAAACTCATGCCGGGCACGTGTGCGTGTGTACCCAAGATCCCGAGAGGAAAGTAGAGGAGAGGGGATTGCGGCGTGGCCATCCCCCCTGGGGGGTGATTTCTCGCTTTCTGTCTCTCTGTCTCTCTCTGTCTGTCTGGCGAGCGCATACGCCCTATAGCAAAAACCTCTCCAAAAAAAAAACATTTTTTTTATCACCACCTACTTTTACCATCTTCTCAGATCTATGACTTTACTTAGGACTCGATGGCTTTACTTCCAGTCCTGATGTATGAATTTGCTCAAGCGTAATCACTAAGGGCCTTTTCTCTTTTGGAGGGGTATAATAAAAAATTAAATAACATAAAGATATTACTAAAGATAGTTCACATTTTAATTATGGCATCTACAATAAATATCTATAGGAATTTTCTAATTAACTTTGAAATCTCACGACCTCTATTTAAAGAAATATTCTCTCTGAAATAATTAGACTGAATACTTTAACAATTAGAAACTTAGTCCCAAGACTATATTTCCATAATAAAATATTTTAACAAAGTTCCTAAATACGTTCTATATAAACTTTCTTTCTTTCTTTCTTTCTTTCTTTCTTTCTTTCTTTCTTTCTTTCTATTTTTTTTTTTTTTGAGAGATTTTCACTGTAGGGCGCGTGCGCTCACCAGACAGACAGAGAGAGACATAGAGACAGAAAGCGAGAAATCACTCCCCAGGGGGGATGGCCACGCCGCAATCCCTTTTCCTCCATTCTCCTCTCGGGATCTTGGGCACGCACGCACACGCGCCCGGCGTGAGTTTTAAGCTACCAGGTCCGGGACGCGAACCACGGTCAACTACGTGGGAGTCCAGCGACATAGCCATTACGCTAACTGCTGGTTCCCCCTATATAAACTTTCTTGACTGTAAGATGCCAAGAGTATGGAAACACGTTTACTACAACAGGACATTTAGTGACATCAGTTCCCACCAACCCACCAAAGTCATTTACGGGGGACTCTACCGGCCCTTTCCTCTGGTGAGCAGGAGGGCCTTCCACTGACGGCTCCCCTGGTCCCCACTTCATCCTTCTTCTCGCCAGACTTGGTTCATTCTCTGCCTGAAGAACCCCCTCTTCTATTGACCACCCTGAAGCTGGTCTTCTACTTCTTAACACCTGCTTCCGCTTCCACCGTACCCAGGCTGTCGCTTGTTATCTGCTCTGTGTATTTTCTATGTGCTGCATTTTTAGGCCTTTGCTGGAGAATTTCAAGAATCTTCACATACAATATTCTCAGGCGCTCATGTGAACTGCTGGACACAGCCAACCCCACAAGACCCGTGGTCTTCTTCAGCAAACCCGCCATGACAGCCCAGACAAGCCCCTCTTCCTTTAATTTTTAAGAAAGATTCTTGTTATGGGTGTGTGCTCACACACATGCCCAGCATAAGTTTCAAGCTGCCAGGTCTGGCACTCAAACCAAGACCAGCCATGTGAGAGTCCAATACCTTAACCACAACACTACCCACTGCCCCCCCAACCCCAGCTGAGTTTCTTAGGCAGATATGGAAGAGATTTTTTAAAACTGTAAAACATTGTCATTGAGGCAGCCAGTGGTGTGGTGGTTAAAACAGCTGGATCCCACATGGCTGCCTGTGCCATTCAAGTCCTGGACCAAGTGGCTTGAAAAGCTTACCAGGTGCACATGTGTGCCCAAAATCTGGAAAGGAAAAGGGGTTAAGAAAGGATTGCAGCAATCCTCAGATGGATACTGAACTTGAGCAGTGAAATACTGCTTTCCTTGATCAAAAATGAAGATTTTCTGCTAAGACTCTCCCTCCAGATTAATTTCTAGTGTCCTCTACGCACTAAATATCTAGGCAAGTCCAAGTAAACAGGATCTAAACATCTGAATACGATTAGGGTCAGAATATTCCTCTATTCCCACTGAATCTGATGCACAAAGAGTGAAAACAGAACAGAAGAGAGATTGCAGATCACTCCCTGCTCCCTCTAAACTCTCAGACTGAACTTCAAGAATCAGGAAGAAACGCACCACTCATCAGATGACTAGAAATCCCCACAGGACCACAAGAAATATGAGAAAGCAAGAACATTTCTCTCCTCCAAAGAAAAAGAATAACTCCTCTTCATCTTCAGTACAATGGAACTCATGGAAATGTCAGATAAAGAATTTAGAATATTCATAGTAACAAAGCTAACAGAGATGGAAGTGAAGAGAGACAATGAACTGCAGGAGAGGCAGGAGAAAGGAGCTGATGAGTTTTAGGAGGTGAGGAAATTCTTGCAAGATCTAAAAGAGGAATTACACACTTTAAAAAAGAATCAGATGGGTCTGTTAGAGATGAAGGCTATCATACAGGATGTCCAAACCTCCCTTGAAAGTATTAAAAGCAGACTAGGTCATACAGAAAATCAAATTTCAGATGTAGAAGATAGAATCACTGGCCTAGAAAAAATCCACCACGAAGACTGAGAAAATTGCCCAGAAAATGAGAATAATATACAGGAAATACTAGATATCATCAAACATCCAAACATCCAGAAAAGTGGTATCTCAAAGGTGAAGAGACTCATAAGGGCATTGATAATCTATTCCATGAAATCCTGGAAGAAAACTTTCCAAACCTAGAGAGGCAGTCAAAGATCCAGTCCCAAGAAATACAAAGGACCCCAAATAGAACCAACTCAAGAAGATCTTCTCCAAGACACATCATAGCCAGATTGACCAAAACCACAAAGACAAGATACTAAGATTGGCAAGAAAGAAATATCAAGTTACCTACAAAGGATATCCCATCAGGTTAACAGCAGATCTCGCATCAGAAACAATGCGAGACAGGAAAGAACGGGAAATATATTCAAAGTATTAAAGAAAAAAAAAAAAAGGAAAAACAATTTCAGCCAAGAATACTGTACCCAGCAAGATTATCCTTCATATGGGAAGAAAAGACAAGAACATTCTCAGATAAACAAAATCTGAAAGAATTTATCAACACCAGACCAGATCTCCAAGAAGTTCTCAAGGGAGTGCTATACTAGGAAAACTAAATACAGACACACAGAAATAAGAGTTCAAAAAGAAAGAAAATGGCCAACGTGATCATTGGGATAAGTCTGGAGTTGAATATTATATCCTAGAATTTAATCAGGAAGATCAAACCACAACAGGATAAAATACCGACTGGCGAGGGCAGGGCCAAAGGGTGGCCAATGGCGAGGGCCACAGCAATGACAGCTGGACCGCGGGCGTGGGTGAGGGCTGGACCAGTGGGAAGGCTGGGCCAATGGCGAGGGCTGGGCCAGTGGGAGGGATAGACCAATGGCGAGGGCTGGACCAATGGCGAGGATGCTTCAGCTTCCAGAATCCTGGACTGAATGGAAATCAGTGGCGTCAATGAGAGAAAAGACACCCTCCCTCAGCTCGCTCAGTAAAAGACTGGGGCGAGGAAGGCCTTAAAGAAATGCTCCCGTCGGGCCCTGGACGAAGTCCGCGGGTCCAGTTCAGCCCCTCCGCCTGCAGAGAGCCTCCCAGGACCCGAGCGCAGAGGCGGGGACCAGGCCCAGGCTGTCCCCGCCCCCTTCGCGAGGCGCGTCCCGCCTCTGCAAGCCGATTGGCCGGGCCGCCAGCGGGCGCCGGGCAGGGAAGACCCGGAGAAGGCGATCTCCCGAGGAATGGGGCCCCCGCGGCCCTGCCGCGCATGCTCGCGCCGTGACCCCAGCTTGAGGTGACGGCTGGAGCCAAGGTGGGGTCCCCTCAGCACTGAGGCCGAGGGAACTGCCGAGGCTCCATCGCCGGAGAGGGAGGGCCCCGCTGCGGTCGGTGAGGACGGGCCCCAGCGGGTGGGGAGGGTCCCGTGGCGTGAACGCGCCCCCGGCCCGGCTTTCCCAGGGTCCCAAGGGCTGGTGCCGGGGGCGGGTCTCGTGGCCGGGCGCCCCGGAGCCCAGTCCGCCTCCTTGTTAGTGCCCTGAGATTCGCCCCCTTTCCCTTCGCTCCTCCTTCTCCGAAGCCACCAGACCCCTGGACGGAGCCCCACACCCCCAAATCAGGCAGCCCCACATTAACCCGCCTTGCCCTGGCCGAGTCCGCTGCGCCCCCACCGACCGCACCACGTCGGCTCCCATGTTCGTGGCTCGGGAGGGCCTGCAGGGTCGGAGGAGTGCGATTTGGAGGGGGAGACCCCGAGGCTGAGTCGGCGCGCAGCGGGCGGGCGCGCAGCACTGGGGCGTTCATGGCAGGGGGGGCGGGGTGGGGAGGAAGTTTCGGAGCCACGGTGACTGGGGAGGGAGGTGCTGCCACATCCCCACACTGGGAAAGCTCTGCCCGCCTGCTGTAGAATCACAGTTCTGGGCTTTTGGGGGTGAGGGACCCTGTCTTTTAAAAACCCCCTGTAAAGACACTACTGCACAGGACCAGCACTGCTGGGCTCCTACATATTCAACCATGGTTCAAGTCCCGAGCCTGGCAGATGAAAACTTATGCCAGGTGCAGGGTCAGCAGTTGGCATAATGGCTATATTGCTGGACTCCCACGTAGTCAACCGCGGTTGGAGTCCCGGACCTGGTGGCTTAAACTCACGCCGGGCGCGTGTGTGTGCGTGCCCAAGATCCCGAGAGGAGAATGGAGGAGAATAGAGAAGGGATTGTGGCATGGCCATCCCCCCTGGGGGGTGATTTCTCGCTTTCTGTCTCTCTGTCTGTCTGGCGAACGCCCGCGCCCTATAGCAAAAACCTCTCCAAAAAAAAAAAAAAAATTATGCCTGGTGCATATGCGTGTGTGCCCAAGATCCCAAGAGGAGAATGGAGAAGGGGCTGCTGGTGGCCATCCTCCCTGGGGTGTGATTTCTTGCTTTTTGTCTCTTTGTCTCTGTCTGTCTCTCCCACGAGTGCACATTACCTATAGCAAAAATCTCTATATATAAAATAAGGAAAAAGAAAATAAATCTCCCTGTGAAAAAAAAAAAATGACACTACTCCTCATCTGAGTGTCCGTCACTCCGAGCATGGTCCAGTCCGGCCTCTGTGGAGCATCCAGGACAGTGATTATGGGGAGCACATGTCAGTACCCACTGGGGACTTTGCCAGACTTCACTCTCCCCCATCTGCTGCTAAGAACCCTTGCAGAATTCTCCACTGTCCCTCTCACAGATGACACCAGTCAGGAGGGCCGAGGGTGCACTGTGTGGGGACACTGTCGACATTTTGTCCAGTGTGTGACGGCATCTCTGTTGGCCCGCTGTAAGGTACCGGGTGAGGTTCCTGGCTTCCAGGACCACCCCAGTGAGGGACTGGGCCTGCGTTAGCCTCCTGCCTAGCACACTCACCACCACACACTTAGTGGCTGACGACAACACAATTTGGTTATCTTACGCCGGAGAGGCCGACTGTGAGTCCGACTCAGCTTGGTGAGGTTAGTACCAAGGAGTGGACAGAGGTGTCTTTGTGGGCAGGGCTGCATTCTTGCCATTCTTGTCTGGGGGCTACTGGCATTTTCTTGCTTTGGCCCCCTTTCTCCATCTCATCCCATGAACTCTGCTTTCCATCTCTCTCTTCCTCACTTCTGCCTGCCCTTCCACCTTTTTTTTTTTTTTGAAATAATTATTAATTTGTTGTTGATTTTTAAAATTTTATCAGAGAGAGAGAGAAAGAGAAAGTGAGAAAGCAAGCTTCCAGGTCCAGGACTCAAACCATGGTCGGCCATGTGGGAGACCAGCACCTTAGCCACCATGCCACCTGCCAGTTCCTGCCCTCCACTTTTAAGGACCCTAGTGATTATACTGGACTGATCATGATATCTCTGAGTAAGCAGCTTAATTCCATCTGCAACCTTAACTCCCCTTTGCCAAATAAGGAAACATTTTTACAGGTAGGTTCCAGGGATTAGGGGCCTCATTCTGTGTATGAGGCGCTCTGCCACTCCTACCATTCTGTGATCTTCGGTCTCGGGTTTACATGGAGCTGTCTTTATGCTTCTGGGTCTCCTTGGTCCTGACCACAGCGTGATAGCTGTTGATAGTTAGGCTAAGTGGGTGGCTGGAGAGCCCTTGCAGTATCGAGCCATCAGATTGCAGATTTGGCAGGGGGTGGGATAAAGTGGGTGAAATATCAGCCAGCAGGTGGCATGCTGGTTAAAGTTTGGGTCCCCACATGGCCGACCGCAGTTCAAATCCCAGGCCAGGTGGCTTGAGAATTACACTAGGTGTGTGTGCATGTGTGCCCATGATCCTAGGAAGAGAATGGCGTGAAGGGATTGCAGCATGGCCATCCCCCCAGGGAGTGAGTCTCACGTTCCTTCTCACTGTCTTTCTCTCTGCCTCTCTGGCAAGTACATCTACCTTATGGCAAAAACCTCTAACGCCCCCCCCCCCCAAAAAAAGTAGTAATAATAACAAAATGAAAATAAAATGCAGGATAATTGCTAAACTTCATGATTTTACATATTTTTTTCCTCCAGGGCACATATTCTCACTAGAAACAGAGGTAGAGACAGAGGAAGAGTTAGAAAGCATCTCCCAGGGGGTGAGCACACCACAGGCCCTTCTCTTCCATGTCCTCTCAGGATCTTAGGCACGCACACGTACATGCCCAGCATGTTTTCAAGCTGGCGAGTGTGGATTTGAACTGCAGTCGGCCATGTGGGAATCCGCTTTAACCACCTTGCCACCTGCTGGCCCTGCCTTCTGATCTTTTATATTTCTTCTCTTTTTTTTGGAGGGGGAAGGGGTTTTTGCTGTAGGGCAGTGTGTGCTCATCAGAAAGACAGAGACAGAAAGACAGAAAGTGAGAGATCACTGCCCCCCACCCCAGGGGCAATGGCCAGGCTGCAGTCCCTTCTCCTCCATTCTTCTCTCAGGATCTTGGGCATGCACACGCCTGGCATGAGTTTAAGCTGCCAGATCCAGGACTGGAACTGCAGTCGACTACGTGGGAGTCCAGCAACATAACCATTGCATCACCTGCTGGCCCCTCTTCTTTATTTTTTACAAGTCTGTTTATTCAATTAACCTTTACTGAGTGAAATTTTAAATTTCAAAATATATACATTAAAGACTATCTATTATTTTTATTTTTATTTTTATTTGACCAGAGAGACAGGAAGAAAGGGGAAGTGAGAAAGCAAGCCACCAGGTCCAGGACTCGAACCCCAGTTGGCCATGTGGGAGTCCAGCACCTTAACCACATACCACCTGCTGGCTCCTGTTCATCGTACTTTCTTTTTTTAAAATTATTTTTATTTAACTTTTTATTTATTTATATTAATTTGACCAGAGAGGGACAGAGAGAGAGAGAAGGTGAGAAAGCAAGCTGTGAGGTCTGAGCCTCAAACCTCAGGTGACCATGTGGGAGTCCAGCACCCTTAACCACCATGCCACCTGCCGGTCCTTCATTGTACTTTCTAACACTTTTTTGTAAACTGAATATAAACATTTCAAGATCGTTTTGTATCTTTTTTATTCTCATATATTTTCCCCCTTCTTTGCATTTAATGTACCTTAAATGGATTCATTTTTAAGGAAGATGTCACCATCTTGTGGCTGTCTGGAATACTGCTGTTTAAGGTTTTAATTGTGTTTTCCTCAACACTGGTGAGAATTTGGTTGTCCTTTGGCAACTTTACAAAGGCCTTTACACCTGGTCTCTAGGCTGCTACTTTCTACCCTAGAAAGTGGAAAGAAAAGAAATAGGAAATACAATCTTTTGAAAGCTTTGCTCGTTGCTCTGAGAAACACAAATATAAAAATCAGGGATGCAGAATGAAAACAGTTTGTAATGGGAAGGATGGCTGTGGGGACTTGCTGCTCTTGTTTTATTTACTCCTTTCAAATATTTCAAAATACAACACAATCCATCTCCTTTTGCCTCAGCAACATGCAGGGGCTATTGACTGTGGAGGACCGTATTTTCAAATTGGTAGCTCTTGAATAAAAACTTCTATGAGAATTTTTTCCCTTCATTTTTAGTTTTTACTATAGGGTGCGTATCTTACCAGGTAGAGAAAAAGAATGAGAAATCACCCCTCTCCCCAGGGGGATGACCAGGCTGTAGGCCCTTCTCCTCCATTCTCCTCTCCAGATTTTAGGCACACACTTACATGAGCTAGGAGTGATTTTCAAGCCACCAGGTCCGGGACTCGAACTGCAGACTTGGCCATGTGGGATTCAACTGCCTTAACCTGCACACTACCTGCTGGCCCACTGATCTTTTTAATTATATTGCCAGAGGAAGATACAGAGGAGAGGGAGAGGTCCCCACTAAGACACATGGTTACTCTGCAATCCCTTCTCTATTTCTCCAGCCATTGAGATTTTGGCCACACGTGCAAAATTGAGTCCAGCCCCTGGTGTGTTTTTCAAGATACCAGGGGCTGGACTCAACCCATGGTAAACCATGTGGAATCTAGCTTCTTTAAACACTACGCCAGGGGGCTGGCCCTGCTGTATGAATTTTTATGTAATAATTTATTTTTAATTTTTTTTCAAATTTGCAATAGAGCATATGTGTACATAAAAGAGGGCAAATGAGGAAAAGAGAAGAGAGGTACCTTCTAGGGTTTGGCCATGCTGTGATCTCCTTTCTCCTGTCCTCCAGCCGTCCGTGGGCGCTCCGGCGCACCTGCGTTCCAGGCCGACCAAGCTCGGAATGTGGGGCCCCATCCTGGGCAGCACCAGGGATTCAGCGAACAGTATTTCTAAGACTGTGAGTGGAACTTGCATAGAATTCTCTGCGTTTCCTTGAACAGTTGAACCTGTTCCCTGCATCCTGGGTCTAAGTGTCTCTCCAGACCAGAGGCCAGGAGCTCAGATGACAGGATACAGCAGAGAGAGCCAGAGGAGGAATTCCCAAGCTCTGCCCCGCCTTTACCCACAGGGGTACCCAGAACAGCTCAGGCACCTGCGGGCGCAGCAGCTCCTCCTCCCGACGCTCCGTCTGCTCTCGCCGTGGGGTAGCCGTTACTGACCCCGGCTCTTGGAGCTGAATGTATTTCGGGATTCACTTCGGGTTTAATGTGGCTTTGATTTTCTTGACTTCTTTGTCCATCGTTAGGTCTGTGCTAGCCTCTGCTTTAGGATTTGAACTTTTAATTTGGGGATGGAGCATGACATCGCTTTGGGGCCATTTTCTGGAGCTCGGCCTGACGGCAGGGCCAGGACTAGGCGCAAGATCGAGGGGCCGCCCGTTCCGGGGTAGCATGAGTGTGGAGGTTTCTGTCGGCCGCATTCTCAGGAAGGGGCCCAGGCGGGGACCCGCGGCCCCGCGTAGCTCGTAGGAGTGAGCGTGCTGTGTGCGCGAGACGCCGCGCCGCGCCTCGTCTGTTCACCCCGACGGGCGCTCCGTTCATCCCGACGCCGCGGAGCGTGGGAGCCGGAGGGCCGGGCTGTTGGCAAAGGGACGTGCGTCTAGGCCAATCAGCGTGCGGGGCGGGGCGTTCCGTGGGCGGGGCTTCCGGCCATGCCCTTGTCCTGCGGGGTCGTGCGGGGTCCAGCCCCGAGGTGCTCCTGAGTCAGGCACTCTGCGCTGCACGGAAGGAGTAGGGGGGTAATGCAGCGCCATTCCCTGCTGAGCCCTGCGGTCCGTTGTCGCCTTACCAGGCCGCCTTTCATGGAGTGTCCACACCCTCGAGGGAGCGGCCCTGGGGTGGGGTCAGGTCTGAGGAGGCCTCTGCTTTTGTTGGTCTAGTGGCCAGACGACCGCACGGGGGCACTCGGGGCAAGGCACCCTGACCCCCATCAGCCAGGCATTTCCTGGCTGTTCTCATGGACAATGGGTCTTGGAAAGCTGGGGTGTTGGGCCTGCACCCTGGAGCCAGGCATACTGGAAGGGCCAGAGGAAACAGGAGCCTCTGAGCCGCTGGAAGCGCAGGCCCGGGTCTGCCCCAGGGTCTCCTGCCCCAGGGTCTCCTGCCCCGGCTCTCCGCAGGGTGGGCAAGATTCCTGCCTTGGTTGCTGCCTTGTTTCTGGGTTAACGCTCATCCAGAGAAAGTCCTCCAGTCCCCTCCAATGCACAAAAAGGCCACCCCACTGATGCTGCAGTGTCCCAGCCAGCTGGTCTCCTGCACTGGGACCCCATCACCCATCCTTTCTGCTGAAGGGCAGTCACGTCCTGGTGGGATCCTCTGGCCCCACCACCTCTGTCCCTGCCAGCTTGGGCAGTACCAGGACCAACTCAGACCGGATGTTGGTCTGAGGCCCAGCCAGTGGGGCTCAGGTGCGTGAGGCTGGGTCTAGTTAAGTCCAGATGCCCCCCCACCCAAGCACCTATCTACCTAGGTCCTCAACTTCCCTGCCTGTGGCTCCATCCCGGGCCAGGTCACAGAGCTGCAGACTGCCACCGGCAGGCAGGGGCCTGGCCCACGTTTCGTGAAGACAGGCTGCAGGGAAGCCCAGATGCGGGACGCTCAGAGAGCTGAGCTGGGTCCCCTGAGCTGGTCTCTCGCGTTTGGCACTCGGGGACACAGGCACTGCATGGGATGGGCTCTGGATCTGCCCCCAGCTCTGCTGCTTTGAGGTCAAGTTGTTCACCCCGACACCCCTCAGTGGGCCGTAGAGTGGTCTCTTTCACGTGGGCGTGGAAGGTTCTATGGAAGAGCCTGGGAAATGCCCGGCACCCCCGAGGCCCGGCAGGTCGCAGGTCAGCTCCCAGCACGGGAGTCCCCAGCAGCCCATGAGAGGCGTTGCTGCGCAGTGTGCAGACGGGGAGGGGAGGTCGCCGGCAGGGGATGGATCGCCTGCCCCGAGGGACTGGCACAGCGGAAACACTGGGTCAGGGGCACCACGGCCTCCCGCTGCCAGACCTCCATCCCAGCCCCTCTCCAGAGCCCCAGGCCTGGGACTTCCTCCACCAACTGGGGTTTTGCCTCCTCCCTCAGGACGGAGCCCCCGGACGCCAGGCTCCTGGCCCAGAGGAGGAACCACCTGCCGGAGCGCAGCCTGCAGTCCGGGCTTTCAGTGTGGGAATGCCCCTGCCTGAGCCCAGCGAGCAGGAGGGCGAGAGCGTGAAGGCCGGCCAGGAGCCGCACCCCGAGCAGGCCACAGACATCGTCCCCGCAGCCCCCCGGAAGCCCAGGAAGTTCTCCAAGCTGGTCCTGCTGACCGCCTCCAAGGACAGCGCCAAGGTGGCCGGGGCCAAGCGCAGAGGCGTGCACTGCATCATGTCTCTAGGGGTGCCCGGCCCGGCCACTCTGGCCAAGGCTCTCCTCAAGACCCATCCTGAGGCCCAGCGGGCGATCGAGGCGGCCCCCCAGGAGCCCGAGCAGAAACGCAGCAAGCTGGCCCTGGGTGAGGCTCAGGCAGCCCCGCAGGCTTGCCCATGTTGACCTAACATCTCTGTCCTCCTGGGCCTGCCCCTGCTGCTTCTTACCAGGAGCAGAGCGGTGGCTGGGCAGGGGTTGGGACCCTAACCAGCCTGGCCCTGGGTCTATAACCCCCCTCAAAGTCACTGCTGGTGCCCCCACTCAATGCAGGGCTGTCCAAGGTCTCTGAGCCTGGGTGTCCCAGGGCCTGGGTGACAGCCCACCTCCATAGGCCTCGAGGTGTGGCAAGCAACCACAATGCCCTTTCCCCCTTGCTCTGTCCTGCAGGCGGCTGCTTGGCCTGGCCTGCTGGGCTTTGGCTGAGCCCCTGTGAGCCACCTCCTGCGCTGCCCCGGGCCCACCCCTTGCTGCCCACCTCCTACCCAGCCTCCCCCTTGTGCTTCACTCAGGAGGGACAGCCAAGGACCCACAATGAAGGCGGGCAGGAACTGGGGTGACAGGAAGATTGTTGCCCTCCACTCTAGCCTTGGAGTCTTGGAAGGGACACAAGAGGCAGCCTGGCCCTGCCCCTGCCCTGCCCTGGTTCTGGACCTTTCCCTGAGCCCGTCCAGAATGGGCCGAGGGCCAGGCTGTGTCATTCTCTGCACCAGCTCAGTTTGGCCTGTGGCAGGTCCCAGGTCCATGGGTGCTAACCTCAGGCTGTGGAGGAGTGGCAAGCTGGGGACCAGGTGTCTGGGTCGCAGGAAACAGGCTGGGGACAAGGCTAGGGAACTTCCTGTGGAGACCCAGGAAAGGGACAGAGGAGGGGCCAGGGCTGGAGGTCACAGAATGCACTTGCAGAAGTTGGGGCCCCAGGCCAAGGGCTGCAAGGACCCCTCTGTCAGCCCAAGGTTCCCCAGCAAGGACCACAAGGGCCTCCCTGACACCAGGCAGCTCGGGCTGGCACCACTTCTGAACATGCTCTGTGTGGGTCTCGGGCTGTGCTAAAATCGCAGTGTCCCTCCGGCACCTCTGTGGGTCTGCATGTGTCTGTCCGCAGACCTGTCTATGCTGGTCATGTCTGTTCCTTGGAGTTCCTGCATGTGCGTGCCTAGCCAGGACCCGTACATGTTTGTGCCAGGGGCCGTGGCGGGCCTCAGTAGCCCCCACCTCCCTCCTGGTCTGGCACAGGTGAGGTTGGAATGGATCTACCTTCCTGGGGGGAAATTCTGGAGAATGTGGTGGGAGTGGGGTGCCCAGTGAGAAACTGGGGCTTCACCTAGCAGTGGGACCAGCCGTGTCCTGGGGAGATAGGAACGAGAACTATGGCTGTCACTGCCTCCAAACAGGAGCCCCTCGGGGTCAGCAGGGCTGTGCAGCCAGCCGGCAGGACAGGAGGGGCTCTTGGTGTCACCAGTTAGCTGGGCAACACAGGGACCCCGCTTCACTAAGGTACATTTAGGGGTGAGTGGCCCTGCTCCCCCCACTGAGCTGGGTGGGATGAGGCCACTGGCAGGGTCCCTTCCAGCCCTTCCAGGGTGTGCTTGCTGCCCGGCTCTGTCCAGATTGGGCCTCGTCACACTGAACAAAGCCCCTTCCTCAGATGAAGCACAGTGCAGGGGCCCGGGGGGCTCTGCTAAGCAGAAGCTCGTGGGCAGTCTGCACTCCCTCCACCTGCCACCCCTCTCCACCTGTCTACTTCGGTCCTCAGCTTCCCTGCCTGTCACCCCACCCCAGGCCAGACAGAGGGGACAGCTGCGGCGACTTCCTAGAAATGATCTGAACAGCCCTTGTGTCCCTGGGTTGGTGGCTTTTGGGGGCAGTGTCCCTGGAGTGGCAGTTACTTCTCAAAGTCAGTCAGCAGACGCTCTGGCTGGTGTGAGAGTGAGCCAGTGAGGCCTCGAGTCGGGGCTCCAGGCAGCAGGTGGAGCCGGACGCACAGGGTCAGCGCCTGTCAGCCCCTCCGTCTCCCTGTGATAGCAGTCTGACCTCTGACCGCCGCCCCCTCTTTTCCAGACACAGATCAAAAAGAAGCTGGCAGGTTGGCAGGGGAGGAGCCCGCCGCAGCCAGCCGCACCTGCTCCTCGGCGCCCAGCTGGTCTCCCTAACCTTGGCCTCGGCTTGGAGTCGGCACCCTCACCCTCGCTGGCCCTGGGCCTGCAGCCGCGGGTTCTAGCGCTTAGTCACAGCAGACTTTCACTTTGAACTTTGTGCGATTTCTTTTCTCTTAGATCAAGTGTACGTTACTTTTGTAAGCAGGAAAGATATTTTTGTTTCGTTTTGTTGTGTTTTTGAGAAGTTTTTGCTATAGGGCGCATGCGCTCGCCAGAAAGACAGAGACAGAAAGTGAGAAATCACCCCCAGGGGGGATGGCCACGCTGCACTCACTTCTCCTCCATTCTCCTCTCGGGATCTTT